GATCATAGGTGTCTTCGAAGCATTGCTAGTATATCCTGGGACCATCGAGTAAGTAACACAGTTGTTAAGAAACGGGTACTCGGATGACAAATCAATTGATGAAGTAGTGAAACTTCATCAGTTGAGATGGCTGGGACACATGTTACGTATGCCCAACGACCGACTGCCTCGATGTGAGATGTTCAGTGGTATAGGAGTAAGTTGGAAGAAAGCTAGGGGCGGCCAGATCAAAACATGGCACAAATCCATGAAGTCACTGACAAATGAACTGAGTCATGTTGGTAGGTGTAAACTACCTGGTTGTGGACCGCGAGATGATAGCAACCGATGGTTAGAGACCCTGAATGACATGGCTCAAAATCGTTTGCAATGGCGCAGGTGAATCCACTCTTCTCCCAAATTCTAATCTTCTGGATTCTTCATGTCCCTTTTTTTCCTCTTTCCAAATTTATTTCACTGTATTATACTCCTTAAATAACATCTCCAAACCCTAATCTTTCCGACTACTGCTTATACTCGTACTACCTCTACCACAATGGGATTCGAATCGACAACTGCATCTCTGTGCTAATGTGGTGTGGCAACTCGAACTGATGTACGAATGTACGAAGTTCTACATTGTTACTGACTAACTGAACGATCGAATAAATCAGGATGGCCATCAGACAAGTCAAGAGTCGGAAGACAACAGGATCTGACAGCGTACTAGCCGAAGCACTGAAGTGAGATTCAGTAGCAACTGCAAACATGCTCTACGTTCTATTCAACAAGATTTGGGAGGACGAACAAGTGTTGACAGACTAGAGAGAATGATACCTCATCAAGATACCAAAGGAAGGAGATCTGAGCAAATGTGAGGACTACAAAGTTGTGACTCTTCTATCACTACCAGCAAAAGTGTTGCTAAACCGGATGGAAGATTCAGTAGACGTCCAACTTCGAGATCAACAGACCGGATTCCATAAGGATCGATCGTGCACTGACAAAGTGCGATACTATGGATCACCGTTGAACAATCAGCTGAGTGGAACTCGTCACTATACATCAACTTCATTGACTCTGAGGAAGTGTTTGACAGTACGGACAGGATGACCTTGTGGAACTCTCTTCGACATTATGGTGTACCTGTGAAGATCGTAAATATCATACGGAATTCATAAAACGGACTACACTGCGAAGTCGTTCATGGAGGGTATCTCATAGATCCATCCCAAGTGGGGACTAGAGTCAGACAAGGTTGATTATTCTCAGCCTTTCTTTTTTTCTGGTGGTCGACTGGAATATGAAGACCTCGACATCAGAGGGGAAGCATAGAATACACTGTACAGCTTACATGCAACTAGACGATTTGGAATTCGCAGATGACCTAGCTCTTCTATCCCAAATGAAGTTGCAGACTGCTTATATACTGACTATCAGGAGCCTCCAAAACAGTAGGTGTCGACGTAGACAATGGGAAGAGAAGCAGAAAAGAGGCATGTCAAAGTCGGTAGTCGGAAAGAGACATCAAAAGATTAAGTAGCATCTTGAAGGAATCACCCATTTTATTGTTCGATGGATAGTGCTCTTATGTGGCCTAAGCCCCTCCACGAGGGGTATCAGGTGTAGATTAGTAAGTATACTGGCCTGTAAATTTTCGTAGGTCAGTTGTTCAAAATTAGAAGTGAACAACGTAAAATACGGACAATATTATCTTAAGATCTTTTATCTTAGTAACTAATAAACTGCCAGATTACCTTCCTGCTTTTGGAGTTCTGACTTTTGATAATTGTATTCAATTTGTCCTCTATCAGTTCTCTCTCTATATGTTTCATTGGCCATAAACGAAACGAAATTCCAAATTACTTTATTCAGTGAGTTTTTTCATTGTTACTTTCAACTCATAAACTTTTTTACTTTAGGAAGCCAAAAAGCAATCTGAGGAAAAATTGGTCAGAGATAACTCTCTCTTAAACCGCTTGTCACTAACTGGGTCTCACGTTGAACTTCTTCCAGAAACTGAGGACGACTCAACTATGGCAAAAGTTATGTTCCTTACACATTCGAAACGTAGTAAGTTTTTTAATACGAACCATATGCATCGTTTATAAGTTCCCATATAATGTAAGTAACACGTTTATTTGTTGTGTGCTGTTGAAAAATGTAATTGAAATAATAATAATGCAAATTATTAATCAGTTACAGTAGGTATTGTTAGCGTAATGTGGATTGGTTTTAAGTATGTTCCGTACAGGATTGTGTTGGGCATGGTCATTGGCCATTTCTGAGCCAACCAGCGCTAGTGGATACTTAGAGAGGACTCTAGAATCTTCTTGTATAAATAAATACAATAACGTTTTTCTTATAACGATTCCTACTTCCACTCAACCTTTGTTTATTTGGAATATAATTACGTTCCACCCCACCCATATTCTGATTTAGGGGTTTATCGGGTGAAGTAAAGTGTCCTAAAAATACTACGTAATAGGAATAGCTAGGTTTTAATAAGAGAGATCATAACCAGGTGACCATTATTTTCACTAATATGAAGTGTTGATCTAAGCTCTTCAATGAACGGATATCAGATGACAAAATAAATGGTCACCAAAACTGCATAGTTTTATATTCCGAAATTACACAGTTATATCCAGAATTTTTAGCGCTAATATGAACAATTAAAATAAATTTAAAAAAACACCAAATAATTGTAGGGTTTATATTTCGTGGGTTATTCACTAGCCTGTAAAATTAATAAATAATTGTCAGACTTGCTCCTCGCTATATCATAACCAGTTACATATTTGCGCTTGCTGATTGTTTGCCCAAACCAAAGTATTTGGGGGATGGTTTTTAGCCCGCAACTCAGTGTTTGGGATCCGATCTATAAAACCGGTGAATTACCTAATCATTTCTTCGCTCTTAACGCTGCTTGTAAAATAGGGATCAATTTTGTCAACAGTAAACCAGGTGAAGACGGTAAATATACGGGTGCTATGTTAATAATAATCTGTTCAAAACCTGAAGCGTGACAAAGTAATGTTTGCATTAATTGCATTGAATTTAACCACTTCACGTATTATTTGTATTTTACGTAAATGGATGTAAATATATCCATATACCAATGTATCCTGGAAATTTTACTACTAATATTTGAATTTAATAAATCCGAAAATATACAATCGTTCGATGCAACGGTATTTAAATCACAGTTCTTATTTTCCTTATTTTTTTAAAATTATCTGATTCTTACTTTGCTTTTAAACTTGCTTACAGTCAACTAATCATACCACACTATGTAGCAAGTTCTCCGTCATTTCAGTTGTTCTGACCTGAAGCAGATAGCGACCAGTCAACTAAAATCTTGTTTACCTCCCATATTTTGATTAATATAAATCATTTTTCAGTACGAAGTGACCACCTGGAAATCGGGGAGCACTAGATGTCTATCTAATTTTTGCTAGGGAATCTCTTGTAATTCGCATCCATGACTTTCGAGTATCGGTGAATACAATACTTTTAGGTCCATTTCCAAGATCAACTATAGACTATGTGTATAAACACGCGTTATTCTAATGTTTTGTGGGTATGTTAAAAATTTCTCACTAATATCAGTCTTATTTTCGCACTTCCCGAACAGGTCAGAAGTATGTACCTGTGTATAGTTTTTATGTAATAAATTTATAAATCATGGAGCTGTGGTTCAGTCTACGCAACTCTACAGTGGCTCGTCGTTTACTGGGTTCCAAACATAGGTCAAGTTTTCGAGTGGGTTCAAACCTTGTGAAGTATTATAACCTACTGAACGTTTCTTTCAATTAAACCTAATCTTGTATAATGCTGTTAGTTAGACTTTAAAAGTTTTGTATGAAAATGTTTCCAGATTTTAAAACGCTTCACATCCGTGGTAGACAAACAGTTTATAACCATTGGGTTAGAGGTTGAGATTTGGTCCCATCTACTTCATTCTGTGGAGTTTAAGAGTAGACTTTAGTTGAACATAATTCTGTCACCAATTATTTCTACCCGTACTAAATTGTGAGCAACAATTAGTGTTCAAGATCCTATTGGAATATCCTTACCTTATTTATTTTGACCGACATTTTACAGTATTGTATCGGACCCACAATGTAGTACAGTACTTGGCGTAAAGTAAATTTTAGTGCTGATTATAAACGGCTTTCCGTGACCATAAACACGTCTTCTTCATCACATTAGGCCCGATTATCAAAGTTGTTCTTATCGACTATCACTTCTAATGTTTTTACTCCTCAACCCAATACTAACCAGTTTATGTGATATTACAGCTGCATGACACTGATTTTTATAAAAATATCATTATAAATAGTCTGGATCGCAATCTCAGACTTCTTTTTATAAATTTCGTCCCATTAACGGGTAAAATTTATAATTATATATCTATCTGTTCATAGTTTAATAATGAGAGCACGAATGCTAAGTACATCATGAAATTTCCTTTGTTCTACAGAAGTCATGGCGAGTGGTTTCGAAATCCACGTGCACCCTAGAGTAGTCAAAGTTCGTTTCACTTACGAATATCCTCAACTTTATAAGTATTTGGTGTATTTTACTTCCAACCCTTTTTTTAACCTTCAGATATAACCGCAAATCCTTTGAATTCTACGTCTCTCATTCGTAATAGAAACTCACATGTGCCAGCTTCTAAAGCCAAAAGTGCATCGAAAGCTGATAACATCAAGAAGTCAACTATATCAACGTTAAAAAAGACTTCAAGGATGTCGATGGATTCGATTATCTATCGTCCTTGTAAAAGTAAGAATCTAATTAACAAATCTGGGGACTCTGGAATTGAAGAAAATGAATCCTCTCTTTCAACTCCCAATCGCTTTTGTAATCACGTGACAGATAGTCCTATCGAACTGGTGACCTATGAAAGTAGTGATGACTCACATAGCAATATTGACGTTTAACCTTAAACGTTTGGTCAAGTAAAACAGATCTCGCTTCATTCATGCTCTGTGTGAGATCAGTGGGTTGGAGTTATGAACCAAACACCTTATTTTAAATTTGCAGAAGGAGCGAGTACATGTGGAAGGTATTCACGCTCTCCACGTTGACACGTTTGAGATATTCATTTTAAAGACTTTTGTACCTTATTTTGTTCAATAAAATACTCTTATATTCATTTTTACGTTTTAGCCTTATAGTACTTGACAATTTTGATTTTATTGCATGCTTCTCCCATTCATTTTTGCACTATGTAGAAGCACTTATTCTAAGGGAAAATCAAACCTCACTTTTACCCAGGAAATGGTTATTATATCTTACCATATAAGCATGGTCAGTTAGACAGCAACACGACCGAAACCATGTCCTTCCGTATGCGAAACAATGCACCACGATTAAGGTTTTATGATGAAATTGATTGAAACGAATGGTGAAATATGTTTCACTTGGATAAGCACCAATTTTTTAATTCCCAAATGGTTTAGGCGTGGCTAAACTACACATCTTTCCTTGTTTCTTGACTTTCTGTTGATGATGCTGCAAGCCCTAACGCACCCAACTTGAATTCACTCAGCAGTATGTAAGTTTGTTCAGACATTTATTACTCAGTATACACTATTTCCGATGGATAAATAAAACTGCCTTTTACAGTTACCGAGATTTCCAGTAAATTATGTTTGCAATATCAAGGATTAAGAGAATGCGCATATAATTAATTTTTGTCTCAAATTTGGAATGATGTTATTTTTCCACTTATGTGTGAAGATTTTTTAAAAATTTACATGTGACCTTCACACTTCTTACTAAGACCTCATTTGATGAAATTGTTCTAAATAACAAATCTAAACTGATATAAGAAGTCATTTGTAATGTAGCCGTGAACGTCAGTAATGTTCACCAGAAATGACTATAGCGTTACAGCCATGTGTTAATGTTCAGTTTCATGTTAGCAGTGCAAATAGGCTTTCTTATTTACTAGTCAATCAGTCATGAATTATGCGGCACCCAGTTTATGGCCTAATAAACGGACTAAAATCCTCCATTTAAACATTTTAGCCCATCTAAAGTTTCTGTCACATCTCATTAAATGCAGAAGTGTGGTTTGATTTATTTATTGTGGGACAATTCTTGTAAATGTTTCTCTTCAAAATAAAACTGACTCGTCTACCAAGTACTGGGCTATAAACCACACTCTAAGTGTGAGGGCTAATGACAGCATCCGGCTCTTTAGACTGAAGTATGTTGGTCGGGGTTTTAACCTGGGAATTAGTGGCTAGAAGTTGGAAGTCTTAACTACTAAGCTGCTTTCATTATGATATCATAAGGGAAGTAAATCCGAAATACTTTAACCAAGACATATCAGTTTGTGTATATGAAGATAATGGTAAAGCCGTCTTTCAATTATTTTGTTAATTGCGCACCGCTTGTGTGTTGTACAGATTCATAAGACTTTTGCTATGTTTTATTATCAGTAGTATTACATTACTTCAGTATTATTAAATTTTTTCAGCTGCATCGCTTGCATGACAGATTCAAATATTTTGAAGCGTGTTTGGGAGGGTAAGGTTCCAGCTTGCTTTACGTTGGCACAAGAGGATTTGGCGCATGAAGATCATGCTCCTCCGCCTATATATGTGAGTTTATGAAATGTTATTTCTCAGACTGATTTGTCATAAATCTTTGGTTTATATATCTTCAGCGGTTGGTTCTCTTTATTTAAGGCGAAAGTATTTGAAACTTTTGAACAGGCGTTTTACACAATAATCAAGAAGCTAATACAAGTACTCTGTAGTCTACCAAATAAGTCGCGTGTTTTACTCATATATATATATATATATATATATATATATATATATATATATATATATCTGTCGTTATTAGCGTTTAATAATTGATTTATTGAAAAGTTTTATAAATTAGTGTATTGGTTCAAATTATTATCAGATTTCCAGTTTTTCTCAACCCAGCTATATCGAATGTCGACTTAAAATTTGGTTCTAGATATTATGAATCTAAATAGCTACGAACGTTATCAAAAATGCCTTAACTAAGTAGCCAGTGACTATCTTGCCCTGGTTTGTATCACATTCTTCCTGAACTGTAAAATACACCTAGTGGCTGAACAATATTGATCTTTGTTATGCTCTTACTTGGACTGTATTTTTCAGGCCTCATTTTGTCCTTATGACATCCTTATTGTATTACATCATAAAAATTACATAAGCTAATATCCACCTAAAAATGATTCAGCGTTGTCTACAGCAGTGCATACCAGTATATCCTTATCAGTATACAATTTGTGAACGTCAGTTCTCCCAGTTGTTACTTAACTTTTTAATACATTGCAGCTTTATGTCAGTAAGCATAATTTATATAAATGTTTTTGTCTTGAAATAATTTTTCTCTCCTATAGATGTTCCTTCCTCGTGTTTCTTATTTTCCGTTGGTTACTGAAAAAGTTATAAGACAATTCAGTCAGTTTTCTGAATGTGCACTCAAGACTGCATCCAAAGATATGACCTCTGAGACACGGGGCAAATTAGAACATGAAATGCAATATACTCAATCCGATCAGATTGATACTTTCAAACAGCATCCTTTAATACACGAATTTTGGCTTGAATATGCTCATCAACCCTTGAAATGGTATGAAATATTGTTTAAAAAATTTGCTACCTTATTTATTATTAGTTGAACCACAAATTTTCCAATTGACTTGTGAATCATTTTAACTGAGGCATCAAAACTCCAATTAATTAATGCACGATCTATGACTGTCTTTGACCAAACCAACTACTTTCATTTCAAGACGTATAGTTTCTTGTAACATTTGACGGTCTAAAAAAGTATGACTTCAATGTAGTTTGTCTTTAGAAATCAATTTCCTACAGACGCAATTCTAAATTAATCCCCAGACTGTCGAACATTGAGTCTTAGTTTGATCAAAGTTAGAACATGTAAGCTATTTGGCTTAATAAACTTTATCTGTCTCTAAAACGTAAATGAATACTGTTAGCATACAAAAAACAACTATTACAGTCTATTAATCAGGGGAAAGGAGTGATATGAATAACACACCGAACGGTAATTAGAGGATAAGAAAAAATGAGTCAACGAAACTTAATATCTTCAGTTTGGGGTTGTGGAGATTGTCGAATTTCCTTGAAATCATGAACTGATCAGTGTTAGACCACCATTAAAAACCTGGAAGCACTGGACAGCCGTTTGTCCTAGTATGGGACTCTCGGAGTTCTGGTGAGAATCCGTGAGCAGTGGAGTTCAACCGTGTCGGGTGTGTGGCAGTTACCGACCAAATGCAATGAAAGATGGTCGCGTAACATCGTGCATTGGTTAAAGTTAGACATTGACATCTTTGGATGCCAACTCACTGGTCTAGAAGTTAAGCGTTCGCTGAATAGGTCACCAGGCGTTTGATTTTTCCTCTCTGATAAAGTCCACAGATTCTAATATTAAGAATTCACTTTAACGTTTTAGTCACCACCGTCTCATAAATGTTACAAACTATGTGATATTGTTGTTCTAAAAAGGTTCAAATCCCCAATCAACGGAGAGATCGGAATGAAGAGGTTAATTCCATGTTAGTTTTATAATAAAAACCCAAATAAATTACAGAATGAGCCTCAGGAAGTTAATCTGATGTATAAAAATTGGTCTCAGAAATCACTGACAATCTGCATATAATCTGCATGGATATCGAAAACCAACGTCTTGTAGTGTCCATTATAATGAATAAGTATTAGTAAGTGATAGTAATGATAAGTATACCATAATATGATTAGAAGTTGGTTCCTGTTACGTATACACACCTCACTAATAGTTTCCTTGTTTTTTCCTTAATTCGTTTTTTAATTAAGTCTTTTCTGTCGAAGTTTGGTAGCATTTTTCTCTGTTCTGATAACCGTGATAAATTATTTAGTATGGTTCACCTGTACAACCCTACGTGTTTGTAGCTGTATGACTACAAAATATTTCCCGAATTGCTTCGTTTGCTCTGTGATGTTCCGGACATCATATAACGTAGTAAAGATTTAAGTATTTCATATTGTTTAGCTTTCCTGTTAAACTTGAATGTGTATATTTTGTATGAAGTATTTACCTGCGGGTGGATTTCTTTATTAAATTCCCGTGGTGTCGCACACGGAGTCTTCAGTCAGTCAGTCAGTAACAACGTAGAATTTCGTGCGTACGTTCATCAGTTTGAGTTGCCACACCACATTAGCACAGAGATGCAGTTGTCGATTCGAATCCCATTGTGGTAGAGGTAGTACGAGTATAAGCAGTAGTCGGAAAGATTAGGGTTTGGAGATGTTATTTAAGGAGTATAATACAGTGAAATAAATTTGGAAAGAGGAAAAAAAGGGACATGAAGAATCCAGAAGATTAGAATTTGGGAGAAGAGTGGATTCACCTGCGCCATTGCAAACGATTTTGAGCCATGTCATTCAGGGTCTCTAACCATCGGTTGCTATCATCTCGCGGTCCACAACCAGGTAGTTTACACCTACCAACATGACTCAGTTCATTTGTCAGTGACTTCATGGATTTGTGCCATGTTTTGATCTGGCCGCCCCTAGCTTTCTTCCAACTTACTCCTATACCACTGAACATCTCACATCGAGGCAGTCGGTCGTTGGGCATACGTAACATGTGTCCCAGCCATCTCAACTGATGAAGTTTCACTACTTCATCAATTGATTTGTCATCCGAGTACCCGTTTCTTAACAACTGTGTTACTTACTCGATGGTCCCAGGATATACTAGCAATGCTTCGAAGACACCTATGATCAAATACTAGTAATTTAGGAATATCCTCTACTCTTACCCGCCATGTTTCACAGCCATGAAGTAGGATGGAACGAACTGCTGCGCAGTAAACACGTCCTTTGGTTGGTAGACAGATATCTCTCCTACGCCATAAATGACGCAAGTTGGTAAGAGCTAGTCGAGCCTTCTGTATCCGTGCTGAGATTTCGTCACACACTAAACCACAAGGGCTGATGAGACTTCCAAGATAAGTGAAGCGATCGACACGCTCAATTACTTCACTCCCTATCACTAGTTCGGGTGTCGATGTAACCCAATCCTGAAGCAACATTTTGCATTTCGAGAGGGAGAATCGCATCCCGAACATGCTTGCATTGTTGCTTAGAGTGATCAGAAGACTCTGCATTTTGTCAGCGTCTTCACCAAATAGAACTATGTCATCGGCATATTCTAAGTCAACAAGTGAACCTCCTGGTAGAAGTTCAACCCCTGGAAATTTAGATGAGGAGTGTGTTATCTCTAAAAGTACGTCGACCACAAAGTTGAACAAGAATGGAGAGATTGGAGAGCCCTGACGAACACCACTTGAGGTAATCAATCCTGATGACAGTTCACCATAAGCTCTCACTCTACCAGTTGTGTTCGAGTAGAGAGCCTTTATAAGGTTAATGTACTTCTTTGGTACTCCTTTCAGTGACAAACACTGCCATAGAACCTCACGATCAACAGAGTCGAATGCCGTTTTAAGGTCGAGAAATACTACCATTGTGGGGCGTTTGAACATGTGTCTGTGTTCTAGAACCTGACGTAGTGTGAATATGTGGTCTATACAACCACGTCCGTGTCGAAAACCAGACTAATTTTCTCTAATCTCTTCTTCACGAGCTTTGGTTAGGCGTCGGAGTATTATTGAAGCTAATATTTTAGACACTATATTAGTCAAACTGATTCCTTTGTGATTGTCACAAGAGGACTTTTGTCCTTTCTTATAAACTGGAACAATCAGTGATTGAGACCAGTCAGATGGGATTACGTCCAGTTCCCAAATTCTACCTAAGACCTCGGTTAATATCATTGCTAATACTGGACCACCATCCTTAAAAATCTCAGGAGTAAACCTGTCAGGACCTAATGCTCTCCCTCGCTTCAGATTTCCTATAGCTTTTTCAACTTCGTAAAGAGTTGGAGGGCTTACATTAACTTACCATTCAGGTCAACTGGGAAACCGCCGTGTGGCTGAAGGCCAATTGAACTGATCCCTAAAGTGCTCTTCCCATCGATCCAATCTCCTGGATTGAGAATGAATAATATGTCCATCTTTCTCTGAGATTGTTTCGCTAACAATCGGGTTCCTAATTCCGGTTTCCTTAACGAGTCTGAACAAATGTCTGCTATTACCTATTGCCGCTGCCTTTTCTATCTCTCTTGCTTTCGCTACCCACCACTGTTCGCGATCATTGCGTAGACTTCTTGTCAGCTTGCCCTTAAGCTGACTCCGCTCTTCATTATGTTCAGAGCCAGGTGGAATGAGTTTCCGAGCATCTATCAGTGCGATAGATGCTGCTGAGATCCAGTGTTGCTCCCTAACCTTTTGGTTTACCTTACTAGCGGATATCACTGCTGTTTCCACAGCTTTTCGGATATCATTCCATGCTGCATCGGGGTGGGCATCACATACATGGCTGCCTAACTGTTTTCCTAGTTGTTCCTGAAATATACTCTTAGCTTGACTATCATTAAGTAGGCCCCTAAGAAGTTTCCTTGCAGCGTCTTTCCTACGTCCAGTAAGACGCAAGCAAATACGCGCTCGCACTAGAGCATGATCTGAATCTAGGCATGTGCTCCAGAATGAGCGACAGTCTTCTATCGAGCCCCTCCATCGGTTGCTGATAGCGATGTGATCTATTTGGGTCCAACGTTGGGACGAATTAGGGGGTCGCCATGTCAAAAGATGTTTTTCCTTATGCTTAAAGTTAGTATTTGCAAGTAACAGGTGGTTATCTGAGCATAGCTGCAACAGACGGTCGCCATTATCTGTTCTTTGAGCCACGACACCATAAGATCCACCTAGGTCTCTTTCCCTATCGCTTAGTTTACCTACTTGAGCATTAGTCACCGGCCACTATTACTACATCCGAGCGCTTAGCTTTTCGGAGAAGGTCCGAAAGCTTTCTGTAAAACTCATCTTTTACATCATCTGAGCTGCAGTCAGTGGGAGAATAGTCAGAGACGACGAAGAGGCAACGACGAGTGTCCCTATCTTTCCGGATTCTTACTGTTCCGTTCAGTCGAACAGCGCACAGACGACTGTCTACTCGGATCCAGTCTAAGAGAGCTAGTTCTGCCCTAGGACTCAATGCTATACCTACGCCGGCGAGGTCACGGGAAGCAGAATCAGGGCTTCCAGATACACGAAGCGTAAATCGAGTCGGTTCTTTATTTTGGCATGGTAAGGTCAAATGAATGACGCTACTAGGATCCTGTGTGCGCGTTTCGGAGACGCAGCACACCTCGATGGCGCGGGATTCTAAAGTTTTAGCTAAGGAAGCCTGCTGTCCTATTTGGCAAAGTGTTCGTACGTTAAAAGCTCCTACGTGTAGCTTAGAGCATGGTTTCAGGAGACCAGGAATGGGGTTCCACGTACTCGAATCGTTTGCCCTAGCGGTGCGAGGTGATAAAGAGACGTGAGGAGGGCTAGTCATGGAGATAAGAGAGGTATTAGGAGGTGTAGGAAGGATTTGAATGTGACCACCTTGGTTTCTTGTGCTGTTACGGGTATGAGGGCTGATGTCACTCCCCGGCTGCCCACACCGTGGAAGGGTATTTCTTGAGGAACCTGAAATGAGAATTGGATTAGTGTTGGTCTCAAAGACCTGGGAGCGTGACCGCAGAGCCCAAGGGACAACTGCTTCAGGCCGGTCTCGCACGGCCTTCTCGTGGAAGGTTTTTAATGTGTTAGCTCCGTTCTTCAAAGCGCCTTACCGCCGGAGACGGAAATCCGTGAGATAAGGTGAGGTGTGACATTTTTAGGGTCGACCTTTTCTAACCCCACCCCTCCTTGTGGGAAGGCAGCATCGCTGTCATGCTGGTTGTCCGAGGGAAACACCTTACTGCTGTCACACCTCTGTACAGTCAGCAGTACGACTTCGCCCTCAGACCTTGAGTTGCTGCTTTTAGTCTTACCGTTCACCAATCGACCTGCCTGGCATGGTAGAACCTACAGGAACATATGTTCCAGCCAATATAGCTCGGTTGGGTCATCACGATAGGCAAGCCCGACCACCGCGTCAAGGTAGCAGCTTCGATCGGGAGTCTTAGCAGAGTTATAGTCATCAAAACAGGTAACAATTTATCTAACAATTAGAATTTGTTTCTAAAATATCTATTAATACATTTAGTACAATAACGCAAAATTGTAGTCAATTGCATTAGAACGATAGACACACGCATACGAAATTGTAGCGGAGTCACTGCAACATGAATCGATAACGATAATTAGTCATGTTTATATAACTAGTGCAATCTCATGATTGGTAGTTATCAAAAAATGGTCTGAGTAATAACCATTCTGGGATCAAATGAGTCTTGAGTGTTGGGTGTTTAATTTGAATACTATTAGTTGATGCACTCGTATTGATAGAAATGAACACACCTAACAAGTCAGTCGTGAAGTTAGGTATATTGACCATAAAACCATACGTAGTACTTTCTTTATGCATCTTCAGATTAATTTAAATGATTTTCTCTTTCTACACTTTTTGTATTTTACAGGCACTATCCGATCGGACTTGTATTTGATATGTGTGCAGATACAGTGGATATTCCATGGAAGATAACAGTTCATTTTAGTGTATGTGGTCGATATAAATCATGTGTATTTATACTTACTATACACTTATAATCTGACAGTTATCTTTTACTACTCAGAATTATTGTTGGTTGGCAAACCACTAAAATTGATCACAACAATATCACTATTTTTGCGAATCTAAAATCGGCACGTAGTAAATAAATATAGATAATACTGATTGGCATTTCTATGGCATTGTAAAGTCTTTTAAAATGTTGTTTATCTGAGTTATTTGGTATTATATGGGTCTAAAAAACAATGTATTCTCAAATCAATCATTTTCAAATCAGCATAAACATAACCAGAATTCTCCACCTTTTAATAAGCAGTTCTTTAATTTATGTACTAAGCTGCGCTGCAATTCGCATTATTTCCATTTAATATTTTAATTCCTATATGGTACTTTTTCTCTCTCCTTAACTTTAGTATATTCACTTAATTGTAGATAAATTAGTTCATCGAAGTCAACTAGTTTTCAAAGATGAACATTTCAACTTTTAAAAAAAGAAGTTATTGTGTAATCTCCACAAGTTTCCTATGCTAATAATAAGTTAAGGTTAAAAGCTATTAGTGTTTGTGACAATATGAAGTTTGTAAAACATAAAATATTCGGTCATTTAGGTGCGAAGGGTAACTGTAAGTACACTGAATCGGAAACTAAAAAGTATGTTATGCGAATAATAATCAAGAATTCTGTGTTACAAAATAACCATAGGAAATTAGAATATCTGTTTAATCAATAAGTAACAGAAATAAAAAAGGTTAAGGTCATGGAAACACAATAAATCTAACTGACTTCTGATATACATAACTCTGGTTTAATCGAATATTTGTCTTTGTGTGAATTAGATTCAGACGTTGGCTTGTGGGAATATTTAAGTGAATCTTGTAGGCTATATCAAATGAATGATCCAAGGTTAACTGTCAATAGTCTTTTAAATTTCGAAGATCAACACTGTTTTGATGGACAACGAAACAAAAAATAGATCTTGATAAATAATCTAATTACCCGTCTCACTCCAGAGAAGCACTGAAGTTGTAATAAATCATCTCATGCAGAAATAATAGGAACTATATAAAATTTCTTTCTTATTGGTTTTTCCAGATAGTTTTCATGTTTATCACTAGTTATATACACTTGAGGTTCATGAACAGCATTTTCTTTGTAGCTGTGCGAATTATTTTACCAAGTCCTATGTGATATTTTCTCCCAGGAAATTCACCTAATCTTGTAAACATTTTGGTGAACAATTTTTTATCATAGCATAAACAAGGAGAGTGAATAGGCTTTCACTTCACTATTAAGATCCACTCTTAAAGCGTATTTGTTGACTAGTGTAGATTTGTCGTGCACTAATCTTGCTAGTGTCTAGTCATTCCTTTTAGTGTATTAAACATCATAAACAGAAATATGGAAGTCTAGTATTTTTTTGCCTCTGCATCAGTGGGCCTCAACATACACAAAGGAAAAAGCAAGGTCCTCAAACACAACACGGAGAACACCAACTCAATCACACTTGATGGAGAAGTTCTGGAAGATGTGGAGACTTTCATGTACTTGAGAAGCATCATCGATTAACAGGAAGGATCGGATGTGGACGTAAAGGCGAGGATTGACAAAGCAAGGGCCGCATTCCTACAATTGAAGAAGATATGGGACTCAAAGCAACTGTCAACCGGTGTCAAATTCAGAATCCTCAATACGAACGTCAAGACAGTTAGTTCTATTGTAAGGAGTCGAAATTCGGAGAACTACAACCGTCATCAAAAAGGTATAATCAATTATAAACAGTTGTCTACGCAAGATACTCAATATCCTTTGATCGGATACCATCAGCAACAACCTGTTGTGGGAGAGGACAAACCAGCTTCCAGCTGAGGAGGAAATTAGGGAAAGACGTCGGAGGTGGATAAGACATACATTACTTAAATCATCTAACTGCATCACGAAGCAAGTGCTAACTTGGAATTGTGAAGGGAAACGGAAAGAGGAAGGCCAAAGAACACTGGAATCGGGAGCAGACATGAAAAGAATGAATAGCAACTAGAAAAAACTGGAAAGGGTTGCCCAAGACAGGGTTGAATGGAAAGTGCTGGTGGGTGGCCTATGCTCCTCGACCAGTGGTAACGGGCGTCAGTAAGTAAATAATTTTTTTTTCATCGTAAATCGCACTTAATAAAATACTTCGGAGTTTTTATGATTTCAAATTTGTCAACTGTTCTTATTTTCTTACGGTATATTATTTTAGAATTATCCGACTGACTTGCTTTTATCCCCACCGGTAAGTCGACTAGCTGTTGAAGCACATTTCCTGTCGATGATTAAAGAAGCCGATGCTTTAAAGCATCGTAGCTACGTTATCAATCAAATGCAAGCTAGAGATCATCGGCAATTGTGGAATGGCTTATTACACTTTCGATATGACCAATTTTGGTCGATCAATAGCAAATTAATGGAGCCTCTTCCACAAAATACCAAGGGTAAGTGTTCTTATATCTCGCTACAGATGTTTAATATTAAGTCAGCTAAATAAAAAACAGATTTCTTCGCTTCCACACTTTACGCGTCGTGGTACTCTAGATAAAACTTCCCGCAAACATAACACTAATGTCCTTGTTTTTGATAGTGCTATGAAATAGCACTTCAGTTTATATACATCGAATTGCTTTACATTAAATGATAACATTATCTAATATTCACTTGATTTTAAGCTGCATGTTCTAGTATCTGAAATTATTTACATATCTTGACAGAATACATTTTACTATTGAGACTTTGGTTTTGTTACTAATCTCCCTTTATTTGTATCATCTCGGTGGAGTGATGTCTTAGTGTTTAGGGCGTTCAACTTTTAAGCCACCAAATCACAGGTTCGAACCTTACTTCAGCTACTCCGATTCGGGGAACCGGGCAGTATTATTAACCCTCGCACTTGGAGTGTGTGGCCCATACCAAAGTTTCTAATGAATAAACCAAATTACCTTTTTTCATTTATGTTGTTCTTTTTGTAAATATCTCAACATTTCTGTGTTTTCATGAAGTTTATTCATACAAATCGGTGGGTTTTTTTCTGAGGTTATAAGCTTTGACTTACCTGCTTTATCTTGTCATACAACAAGCAGCTTTTACAAACAAGGAAATGTAGGTTCAGTAGATATCGAAATTATTTATCTGTTTACGCGATTAGGAGTGAACTTGTCTGTAGTCAAAGAAAAGAAAATGTAAAGATACTCAAGGTTATGAAATTGTTACCCACTTAAATGACTGTTACCGGAATCCACTTCTGTAAATTCAATGGGAATACTGTACATAACGTATATATTTACCCGCTACCATAATTATTCATTTCTGACCACTTTCATGGGTGTCTTTTGCCTTTCTGTTGACTGTTACAGCTGATATTAAAGAGTGTATGGTCCAGATTGTACACTGCCCAAAAATGATCTAACGGAAGAGAACCAGTATCATCTTACGCATAATGTGTTAGCATTGGTTCATCAAAATTTCGTATATTACTGATTATTAGTGTTACCTCATAATTTCCCATTTATTAAAAAGAAGGTATCTAATTAATGTGAAAGAATTTTTCGTTTTGGCGAATCCATTGAATCACTATGAAAACGTCATCTATGTCATTGCTTACAAATCATGTCTCTTTTTATTTTCGCTTAAATTAGTTCAATAAGCCGTTGTGGATCATTGATAATAAAAAAGAATCGACCTCATGAAACGAATATTTTTACTACACTGTATAAATGTGAACCAAAAATTATTTTTAGTCTCAACAAGAATTTTACAGATGAGTGAAAACTCGGAGGTTTTTGTATTTTTCCATTTCATCATGACACATTCTACATCATGGCATAGACACATGCATAACAGCGAATGTGGCTATTTGCAAATGTACTCTGTACTTGGTCTCAAACATTTTATTCGACTCAGTGGGCTAATCGTAGAAAAATTTAACTACTTTCTGATTAAAATGACTGTTTTCACTCTCAATTGAATATTTTCTCTGCTCCCAAATCATATCATTCATTATACGTTGTTTCTCTTGATATTCATTTTTAATTTGAAGTATGTCCTATATTTATTACCACGTTTTTCTTCAATAGTCTTTTCGAAAACTTAAAAGTTGAGGTGATTTGTGCTATTGTTTATGCCATGTTTTTGAATCTTATCATATCTCTTATTTGTTTCTAATCGTCATCAATAATTTAATTGCTACAATATAAACTTAATGCCCGATTTCCTACATATGGCACAGAATAGGAAACTGCTGAGATCGTTTCAGTTCCTGAATGTTAAATTTTATAAACTTCCATGTATTGGACACCAGCTTCGCTTTATTGTAGTACATTATATTGACTAAATCGAACAACAGTAATAAATATATTTGGAATTTTTTTTTGGTATTCGAGTAAGTAGATTTTTTAAACAGACATTACTACGATAAATCTGATCATAACAGCATTACATGCTGTGCGTCAAGAAAAATCATGTTTAGCAGTGTATAAAAAAGTCCTACATTTATTCACTCACGCTTAATTTAATCTTAGCACCTTACTTGTCTTAAAATACATATACGTATTGAAGAGTAATATGAATTTCTTCTACACTATTTACTATTGTGAGATGTTCTCATTCACCTATCATCTTTAGATCTTCCTTTAGAGGAAATGTCTGCCCCTGGAATTCCAGAAAATAAACCATTGTCTTCAAGTCTCAATAACATGTCATCTTCAAAGTGTAGAACTTTTCGTTACATTCCATGTCGTCTTTATTGTGTTTCTGAAAATTCAAGTTCCACACCATCCGGTTTCATTCAAAAACTTATTCGTCCTTTAAATGATGATGGTTCGCTTACTTCACTTCAAGATGCTATCGAAATTCTTTTGCATACAAATAAAAATCCACTTGTACAAAATACCAAACCAAAAGGTAATCTTTGTAAGTATTCATATATTATTTCACTTTTTAAATAATTGTAGAGGCTAATTTCCTCTATATCTGACTCCGATAAATAGTATCCTGTTAACTGATTATTTAACACGGGCTAAATCTCCTAGTATAATTATGGATTTACTCTAGATTATTCAAAAGCCTGAACACCAGTTGTAGAGATAGTTTATTGTAAAATATTAGTAAAATCCACAAGCGTGCAGAAGGCAAGCACAGTGGGAAACGAGTTAGACAGTGTGTCTGCAGGAGTGGATAAATTATTGATTGTCTGTGTGTTACAACCAATGGGAGAATATATTTAAATACTGATGTGCAGACACGCGCTCAATCAGACTCACACATAATTTTACATGGTGGAATAAATGTCTAAATTACAGTGAGCAGACAAGTAATACAATAATATTAATGGTTGAAATTGAGTCAATTGTAGCTAGACCACCATGGAAAACCTGGAAGCAGTGGACGGCCGTTTCATCCTAATGTAGGACTCCTCAACAGTGCTCATCCACGATCCCGTCTCACGAGATTCGGACCCAGGACCTGTCACTCTCGCGCCCATTAATGTCAAATCGATCTACTGAGAATAAGTAATTTTATGATAATATCACATTAATAACTAAGATTGTAAATATGTCATTGGTTAACTACTTACTTTATGCCATCAAAATTGAGTAATTAGTTTATTAATGCTACTTAAAATTCAAACTGTATTTTACTTTCAAGCACTTAGCAAATGATATTCATGCTCTACTAACTACTATGCCTGTAAACCAAGCAATGTAGTCTTACCTTTCTGTGACAATATTCGGATTTGTAATAACGTATATGTTAATTGGCCATTTAGCCTAATGTATATCCTGACTTTTGTTACGCGTTTGGTTACGTTTTTCATTAAAACAAAATTGCTAAGCATTATGGAGAATAAAAGATTGTATTTTATTTAGTTTTGTACAGATCGAGGTCAAAACGTCTCTATTGAATAGAAAATGTGATCATACTCCCGAAATTATGTTCTTCGAATGTTATTAAGGATGAGTTACGAAAATGTCGATAATTCGAGTAAAGCATGTACTTCATTAATTACAGCCTTTTCTTATTTAAATGATTAAAAAATACACAGGACATGAAAGCGTACTTTAAAAATATACGTTACTTTTCCTTCAAAGCACTTTCGTGCTTCATGATCCTATTTCTCCAACGTGATTCAAATAAGCTTCGTCTATACAACTGATTGATGTACCTACATTTGTAAATCATGTTTGTCTTGTCCAATATGGTCTGATTCTTTTGATTTGTAATTTTGATGTAACTGTTGTACCATCTTTGTCCTTCAGGGTATCTGTTTTTCATCCATGGTATCACATTACCCCACGAAACACCGATGCAATGGATCAGCGAACACTTATCCTATCCTGACAATTTTGTGCATGTTGTTGCACGTCCTCAAAGCCATTCTCATCGAATTAAAATTCATAATCCTTCATACATGTAAATTTTTCCTAACATTACGGTATATTGTCTTTCAAGTACTTTGAATTTAAATTTTCCAGTCCCAACAATATATGTTACAGGGTCGATAACTTTGGTATCTTTATACGATTATGATGATAATAAATTCTTACCTAATCTGCTTTCTTATCTCTTGTAGTTTTATTGAGATTAAACCCGGAATGTGTCAAACATTAAATTAATATATTAGTACAAAAAATATGTATTTATAAGTATTGTACATTCCCAAGCAAAATGATTCGGCATTGTAAATTACAGGACTGTAATTACAAATCTTATTGGAAGAGACCTAGAAAAAATACTTTTAAAGAAAGTGATAGTAGTTCGTTGATCTGCATTATTAAATATAAATTGCTGTGATATTCTAGTAACTATTTTCTGTTATATCGTAGTTTGATATCATTGGTAAATCACACATTATGAATCATAAGGTGGTGATGTTAGCGTCACCATATATTTTCCATTTACATATTTTCAATGGATATCGTGTTAGTCCGAGTTATAACGTATGAACTTACATTAACTTTAACGTAATATTGTATCGCACACTCACTACTGGATTTCATGCATCTTATTACCTAAATTTTATAATATCTCAATAACCGTTATTCAATTTGTACATCTTACTATTGTGTCAGAAGTGCATATGGTGTCGTAAGAGAAATTTGGAAATAATTTTTTCGGCACACCCAAGGTATGATAAAATTTTATAAGGATCGTGTGGAGGATATGATCCTAAATATCACCTGTCTTATTTAGGCGTGTATTGCGTATACTAATAATCTTTGACATTGTCATGTGGTTTATAGTAAACAAATACCATTCAACAAGTTTGCCTGTTACCATTGATTACGTGTTGTGAAGATCCCAACTATAAAATGATTTTGAGTAGGCTTAGCTACACTACTAAAATAAAACGTAGAAACTCACATGATGTTCCATTGATTTGTCTTGCCAAGTTAGTCAGTAGTTCAGGATAAGAGTTAGGAAGGACAGATAATAACAAGCTTTAGCAGAAGACAAGGTGTAATTGGACGATGAATGCTGTTGAACATATTGGATGTGAAATAAAGACGCGAAGACGATTTTCGATACCTGTGACATAGATATTAGCAAATCATTAGGAAAATTTAGGCAATAATGAGTCGTCAATGTGTGATTGTTATGCGCAATACATTTTAGAAACTCATTTTCCTTAACCGAAATGGTTTTTGTAGAGAAAGAGTTACATTGTATGGTGAGGATGTTACTTCAAGCAGATAAACATCCGTTATAGAGACTTATAATTTTGATATCCTTTGCTAACCACTTTAAGCATGAGAGAATTTCAACCATGTAGTGGCACAACCATTTATTAAGCATAACCTCATTATCGAATGTAAGACCCCATTCTTTCAGAATCACCTTCACCAGTATGTTAGCCCCACTATCTAACAAATTTTGACTCCTGAATTACCTTTTTTTCAATGAATTTAGTTCGTCCATGGTTATTTTCCTGTTATTTGCTAGGTACAGTTTGTTATGTTCAAACATGGTTCGACAAGTCTCATAAAAACTCACATGGCTTAATGTGTTAACTGTTCCTTATGGTATTTTGTACTACCATGTAACTTGCAGGAATGGTAATCAGAACTGTTTTTTTAAAATTTGGACTCAAATAACAGCCGTGACATGATGCTAACAGTTGGATAGTAAGAAAATAATTAGGCTCAGTTGTAACAAGATAAATACGAGTATAACAAAAGTTAAATAACTTCATGATCGCTTTTCTCAGATTCTTAAAACTACAAACTAAACAACTTTTTGTTAATGTTACCAGTAAAGAGCAACATTTTAGTGGTCATTTAAAACCACAACCGAATAGACCAAACTTTATCAGATGTATATATTTGTGTAGGTATAATTACCAAGGTTTGACCTGATAATTTCGAATAAGTTGAGCATATAGTGGATCTTTATCAATAAATAATATATTTGTAATATCCCAATGAGTAGAAAAATGAGATTTTCTGACGTTTTGTGACTTAGTGTAAGCCACTTCAGAAAATAAATAACCAAATCAAAATTAATCCAAGTTTAAGTAGTACAACAGAACAACAAGAATATTATGTGATCAATAAAAAAACAGGTCCAATTAAATCAATGTCATGTCATGTCATTTCGGTCAAGGTGATTCATAAGCGACATATATGTAAATTCACTTGGGATTGTTTTGCTTGTATCTTCCCTTTGAGGTTTAAGACTGCAATTGATCAGTCTGTTATTGGCATATGTGCATACTGTGCGTATGCCTCGATATTGCCTTAACTAACAAGCTCTTATAAGCAACGATGAATAGTGGCTAGCAGTGGAATCCAGGACGCGCGTTTCGTCCTATTTGAGACTCGTCAGCTGGATGCACCTGCATCTCAGTTGATGTTCACTCTGGGACTCGAACCCAGTACCATTCGCTTCAAACATCATCGCGTTATTCACTCAGCTACTGAGTCCTGATAGCCATTTGCTTGTGCAATGGCGTGAATTTAAATTCACTTGGTAGAATATCATTAAACGACCGGCCATTTTTGTAATTTTTTCACCCCTTTAGAAAAAATTTTTCATCCCATTTTCCAATATTTCTCATTCCGTTTCGTCCAATTAAATGGCTAGTTTTAAATGCGTTATAATTGATTAGTTACGTCTTAAAATTGTTATAAAATGTCAGTACTTGTCGACAGAGTACATTTTATTCGAATTATGGAGGAGAGTAACGTACCATGTACAAGCTCTATCGTTTCTCACGTCACAGAAACGGAGAACGTATTCTTGAATACATTGTATCTCATAGCGTTCCAATCAATTGAAGCGTTAAAGTGCGCGATCAGAACTTATGGAAGATCTACGTACTGCCATTATGTGGTGAGAGATTCGCATTTCCACAGAGATCGGAAATCGTATGTTAAATTTGTATGTTGGAGAAATGGCCGTAGAACACCTAGAGGTTCCTCACAGCCGATTAGACGAAGAAGGTAATTTGATTAGTGTTATTATATTTTTTTGACGAAGGACTTCCATGAACAGTCAATGTCCGGCCTTCATCTTTTGTAAGTTTATTGAAGGTTACTGAACTTTTGTTCGTGGGAATGTGCATCACAATTACGAGTGCAATCCCCTGAGGTACGACAGTAATTCTTGGGTGCGCAGGTTAACGGGGGTTGAGTTTGGAAGAGTGCGACCACTCCTGATATCTGGGACAGCAGCATTCGATATTAAGCACTTTGCTTACCAAACTTATGGAAAGCGTCTGAATGCTCAAGATAATTTTAATATGCGCTACAAAGTGTTCTCACAGGTCAACCTTCCTGATAAGCAATGTGCCTCGAATTTAGGCCTTTCTTCAGGAAAATCTTCACTGTTAAGAGACTGAGTAATGGCCCTTTTTAGGGCCATGTATTAATTTGGCTAGACCGAACACTTCGAAAATATTTGCTATTGACATAACGCGAAAAAACCTAACGCATACTTTCCAAACCCAATAACCGATTTACATGACTGCTTACGCACACAAGTATTTATTGTCATAATTATAAACTGCTCAACTACAAAGAAGATACAGGTAAAAAGAGTTAACGCTTTTAATGGACTAGCAAAATATAAGCCTATTACAATATAACGTTTTATTAACGAAACCGTTTATAAAGCGAAAGTAAACAATTATTTTGTATTAAGAATTACTACTTACAAAACAACCCAATCATAAATACTAATAGCCTCTTTCGGAGAAATTATTACTTCTTTGAGTTAGCGTAAAAGTGGCTTAATTTACCGATCCTTTACGGTTCGCGTGATTTATACATGCCCTAATCATTATTTTATCATGATGATTTATTGATATGTTCTTTTTTATTAAAATACCATGTGTTAGGAAAAAACTAATGGTATTACCTAGGTGATAATTTGTTTAATAATTGTGTATTAAACATTTGACTACCTTTCTACTTCAGTAATCACTATTATCAAATATTAAAACCAGTTCTTAGTTTTTTTCCAAAATTTTCTTTTAATAAGATACATATAATTAATCTTGTCAAGATAACTAATGACTTCAATTTCAGTTCTACTTGATCGAAAAAAACTTTATCCCAATATACATTCACTGACAGGAGTATAGCAGGGTAGTGAAATGTAGTTGGTGTATTTCTCTTCAGAAGTTAAAATTTTTACCAAGACACGGATGAAACAAAAAGAACTATTTATTCAAAATAAATTTCAAATGTAAAAATGCAAATTCTCACATTCAATCAAAGCACTTGATGCTATTTCGATTTCAACTAATCAGATTACAAAGATGAACAGTTTACGACCAATTAAAAAATTATTAAAGGTGAAAAAATGTTTGTTCATTATCACTTGAACACAGTTGCAAAAACAAGTTCACCAATTCCTAAATTATTTTAGCACAGTAGGATTAAGCATTATATGGAACGCTTCAGCTACTCTCCTTTCTTTGTAATTGAAAAAACCTTTTTGTAAAATTTTGATATTTCTTAAAATCGATTTGGCGTCGTTGAAAATGGCGTGAACTGATATTGATGATTAAATTTGAAGTCTATCCAGTTCTACGGGATTATTAGGAGGTTTCTTTGCGTACCTAATATGTTCTTTGACACGAGTCAAGATTTCGCGAGATGATTCTCCAATATCGAAGGCAGCACAATCTACACAACCTAATTTGTAGACGCAGTTCTGTGTTGACATGAATGGAATTCTTTCTTTTAAGCGAACTTAAGTATTTCGAAGTGTGTTCGTTGTTTTGTAATATACTTTAATTCTGTTATAATTTTAATAATTTTCCTATGAAGATTATTAGATGTATATTAAAGCAAGACGTTTCATTGCGTAATAATAATAATTCGAATGAAATACCATGGATTGGTACTGCAGTTTTACCATATCGTCATGGCACAACTGAACTTCAAAGAATCTTAAAGCAACAGATAACGA